TACTTTGATATTTTCCATGTCTTAGCAACGGTCGCAATTGCTGGCTCAGTTCACATGAGGGCAGACATACCCACTATTTGTCGTCCTCCCGATTTCTGATCTTATTTTCATAAAATCCTGGTTAATATCTGCTTTTTATGACCTTTATATTTATCTATTAATTCTCTGGGTTACCCGTTACTAAGGCAAATCCGAGTCAGATGCTCCAACTCCTCGTTCAAGAACTCAGTGTCCGTTAATATTAAGCTTCTGATGAGCATACTCCTCATTATTCCGAGCTTCATTCTGTAATTGCGACGAAACTGGAAATTGAGGATAATACCCACATGTGATTTATTTATGAATAGTCTCTTCCTGAGCGTTCCGTTGGGGCTCACGACCTCAACATCCAGGAAGGGGACACGTTTATCCTCCTTCATTTACATTGTGGATTTGATTCTTCCAACAAGTTAGTTTATAAAATTTAAGAACTCATCTAAATTTTTCCTACCATGCGAACGTAATGTAAGGTAGTCGTCCAGGTATCACATAAGTACCTTCTCCAATCTGTTCATGTATGCATTTGCCAAAAGAGGTGAGAGTAGAGATCCCATCGGCAATCCAAATATTTACTCATAGACATTGCCATTGAATGTGAAATATGTGTCAGGTTGATTAGTCGTGCTAACGACTTCTTCCGTATTTACTCTGCTTGCAGGATATCCTCCTATCGTTCTAAGACCTCCAGCGGGGTGGTTACTGCCTTTTCGCCTGAGATGTTTGTGTATATGGATTGTACATCAAAACTTATCAGCCTTTCCGTCCATGCTACTCCAATATTTTCGATCCTTCTAGAAAATGCATATGAATTCCTTACAGTGTTCAAGAGTCTGTTGGTTAATTTCTTAAGCTTCAAGCATATAAATTTGGCTAGTATGTGTGCTGTTCCATGCTTGTTGTTGATTCTTATTCTTAGCGGATTTTCTTCCTTGTGTATCTTCGGTAATCCGTAGGCTGTCGATGGCCTTACGTCATTTTTTTCTTAACAATTTCTTCATCCATTAGTTTATTTCTCCATTGTTATGCAAGAGAGGGACTCTGATAGGACCCGAAGGGAGAGAATTATGGATTAAACCACAGCTTTGGAGCAACACTCTCGACAAAATGAAAGGAATGGGGAAACCAGCGGGGACTGTGAATAGATTTCAAATAGGCCAAGATAAACAATTAAGAAATTGTGATATTGAAGGGGTGATACGAGGATATAGGAGAGGTGAATGGCCAAGGACAGAAGGAGAGATACCACAACTGTTTAGCACACATTTGGTCAAAGAATCGACTTCACTTGTCTTTTTGACGAGTTTTAGTGTAGTGCTAAGAATGGCAATGCTCACTGGGAATGTACCAAGTCCACGGACCGGATCTCGAAATGATCATGCATACTATGGACTCCAGACAAGGTGCTTTCCTCTAGGCCTTCCTGTCTATATGTCCAAGTTGCGAAAACAAGGTCAAGCAACTTCTTTATAACAAAGGAAGATTGCTACCATACAAAAGGCTACATCGTCTTGGCCTTCATACTTTTGAACACGTGGAGAATGTTTCACAGTTTCCTGGAAAACCACTCTTATTCCACACTTCCTTTCTAGTTTGCCTATATTTTTGGAGAGGATGCAAAAAGATAAAATCAGGATATGAGCAAATTGTATGTTTTTTTCAATTCTCTTTAAGTATTCCTCATCTGTAAATGCATGCTTTATCAATCTGATCTCAGGCCCAGAAGAATATTATTCTCCACTAATATTAATTTATGTCTATCTGGCTCATTATTCAAATGGCCTTTATCGGGTAATCATATACTCCGAATAATCATTTATCCTTAAATGACAAACTTCCTTGTATCACTACGGTTGGATAAAAAATTTTGGAAAAAGTCTGCATGTACTGCTTTCTTATCTACATCATTACCCAACTTTATTCTTTATCTAATAATTTAAACATTCAGAAAAGGTGAAAAATCTCCTTCTCTATTTCCATCGCGAACTTAATACTTCTGTCCCTGTGGTCAATTAGGTATAAGAAAATATCTATCTATCCTTATCAGGCTGACAAATTGGAAAATAATTATTCAGATATATAACTAACATTTTTGGTGTCAATCATGCCTCTCCCACGAAGTGTTCCTCTATTCTTAACATCAAATTATTCGCTCAACTGGGAGTCAAACAAGATCTAATTACCAGTGTTTGCATCCGTTTATAGAACATTTTGCTTAAGGTGAATATATTAATTTGTCCTTCTCAATAATATCCCGTGGTTCTTCGAGGCTATGTTCTAGTGCTTGAACAGCCTCACGAACTGGGAACTTAGTATGCATTAATATCACATAGAAGCTTAGCAAAAGGTCCTCCATACTTTGCTGATCTACCAAAGTAAAGATTCATATGAATTGTTATCTGAATATTTTCAATATTCAGTTACTTTCCTTAATTGTCTGCCTAATAATCGTGAGCTCGTATTCATCACAATTCCTTTACAATCAACAACCAGTTAGCAGGGTTTCATGATCTGACTTCACCGGAAACTAAAGTCTGTTGTGGATTGAAGACGGTTGGAGAGTGCAAATCAGCGTTCGATTGATTGTCCTGCAACCCTGCAAGATAGTGAGCTGAGGACTTCTTTGAACGCCCCAATACGCTGTCCTCCAAGTCAATCCTCCTTCGGCTCCCGGTGAGGCCAATTCACAAATCTCTTCAGACAACTATTCCTCGGAATTCAAAGTCGAGTAACGCTCAAGCACTAACGACTCTTTCGAAAATGTGCTTTTATTCATAAATCTTTTGTCTATCTTTCCATGCATAAAGTAGCTTGGTTTCTTATTCCTCTCCACTCACATGTGAAGATGTGCCAGTGCACTCATTCAAGAGGTGAGTCTGAAAATAAGGTCTACTGACCAAAGTTTCGAAGGCATGAGGGAACGCAATACCAAGTTGAGAAGAACTTTGAGTTTTCATCAAATTGCTCTTTACCCTAACGACACTGGCCTAACGACTCGTCTGCTGGACCGACCCCACTCGAAAGGATTTACTTTTCACCCATACATACCCACATCACATACACAGACACACATGCATACGAATATTTGTTTATCTTTATGCACAAACATATGTACATGCAGGCACACATAAACACACACAAAAGGAGACTGCCCTGTTTGCCGGTTAACTCTCGTTTCCTCTGGACCCTTACATCGGCTCACTTGAGTGCACTCACCCTGGCGACAGGTTACGTGGTGCCTACAGTGCCGTGCCTAGGGGCAGAAGTCAGCCAACCTTAAATGGTTCTCATTTGAAAAAAATAGGCATTCAGGATGGCCGCAGTCTACCAGAAGAACTGATCAACCGAAAAGCCGAGCGGCAAAGGCACGGACGCAGAGGCAGATGAGAGAGGAGGCAGATGGAGAGGCGAGAGATGGCAGAACCTGGTGCATGGATGACCGAACCTGTAGAGCAGACGTTTACACTTGCTACCAAATAAAGGATCGATCATCAGTTTGGATGACGCCTGGACGGAGGGAAAATCGTAAAATAATCGGTAACTAAGGCTCCCACTCTGAGGGAATCTGCCGAATTCATCAAGGCACAATTAACCAACTCCTAGATCGATAATCCAGGCAGATGCGTCAAGTTGAGAGGGCGACATGTGGTCATCAATGTTATGATCGAAAAGCGTCAGTTGGGCTGAGGTCTTGGAAACCCAACTGCCCTGCTACTCCTGTCTGTACGAGATCTAGGGTTGCCAGCACTACGTCGTTTGGTCCATCTGCCGGTCAGTCAGTCGTCATTCAACAGGGTATGTTGTTCAGTCAGTCAGTCGATCAACCGGGCTGTCGGACTGTCTATCAGTCAATCAGTCAGTCGTTCCATTGGCCCATCCGTTATCCCATCGACTTGCGTGCGTTTCCGTCCTTTTTTCGTTCCAGTTTTGTGTATCTCCTTGTCTCCTTGTTTGTATGTGTATGCGATTGTTTGTGCGCGTATGTTCGTATTCGACTCTATCGTCATGATGTATGCTTGTTCAATTGTTCATCTTTTCGCCTATGCTTCCCCGTCTTCCCTGTTCTCTGTCTGCATGTATTGTCGCGATTCAGAAGAGATGCACATCTCGACGACTCGCCAATGGAAGTAATAGTCGGCATGGCACCAGGGTTAATGCCAGTGTGTTGCCATGCGTGGGCATATTGGATGATCAGACACGTGTAGTTTCGTGTAACCATCACGACCGACGTGAAGGTAGCAACTGAAGATCGATTCTGGGCAGCACACGTCGTGTTGACTCTCTTTACTCTAGTTAACCCTGGCCAAGGCTAAGAGAGCAGGGCCGAAGAGAGGTCGCTCGAGGTTAGCTTCCATCGTCAAGGCGACAAGGTGCCCAAATGTATGCGGGCCGGAGCAGCTGACCATAGGAGCGGCGTATAGCTACGTATAACGTGTTCGTTCGTCGTCTCCGAGCTCTTCGAGTCGTCAGAGCTTCAAGTAAAAATAGTCTACATCGTCTTGTTTGCAACCTCAACTCTGCACAAGAGTTACCTAAAGACATAACAAGTACCTCAACCAGCATCATCCGCCGGTGTCGTAATCCGTTGCCGCATGATGATGCCTCTCCTTGACGATGATGGTCAAACATCCCAGTCGACTGCCGGAAGCTGGATGAAGACGTGGTACTTGGTACATTTTATGAAAGTGAAGTTGGACAAACTCTATTCGACGAAAGGAAACAGAGAACACATTAGAGGCCATGCCTTGTTGCCTCATGCTTTAAGTATGGGTGCTCCTTTTTCTACATAAACCGCTCAATTAAATGGGCCGAAAGTTCTGTCTATTAAAGTT